CTTTTCAATTATTTCCAGTATAACAATTCGTGTGTACAAAACGCGAGTATGAATGCGGTGGTGTAGAAAATTCGTGATTTGTACTTCCACGCAGCGGATCGATACCCTCAGCAGATAAGGGCTGCAGAAGGCAGCTACGAATGGCGATGTCCACCATGCGACGGTCGGTGAAGGATATGGGCGCATAAAGAAGAATGGTTAAATGCAGTCCTCGTAGGCTTCCTGGCAGCCAGGAGTGCATGTGCGTGATCCTGGGCTGTCCGGGTGACGCCGCGTCGGAAGGACTGTGTTGCCGACGTTTCGACGACCATCGGGGCGGACGGGTGGAGGTGGAGCGGGGGTAAGCCGAAGGTGCCGTCCCCGACGGGTGAGCGGCAGTTGGGGCGGGCGGGGCTGGTGGGTTGGGCGGAGGGGGGGCCGGGAGGGGCGGGGCGAGGCGGGGCTGCTAGGCGGGGTGGGGGGGGCGGGCGGGCGGGGCCGAGAGGCGGGGGGGGCGGGGCGGAGCGGGTGGGGCGGGGCGGGCGAGATGAACTGCACGGTCGCGCTAGCGGGGCGTGCTTCGTTTCTCCATCCGCAGAGCGGCAGCGAATTCACCCGCGAGCGGCAGCATCGGTGCGCGCGCAATTTGTCATGATCCTTCAAACGCTCGGCGGGCGGAGCAGAGCGGAGCGGAGCGGAGCGGAGAGGAGCGCTCGAATACATTTCATGCGAAATCTCCGATCGCATTTCGACCTTGAAAGTCTGGGGCGCAAGTGGAGTGACAATTTAAATGCACAAAGCCGGTTTAAGCTATTCAACATTTCCCATTCTCATTTTCAGAGGATTTCCTTCGAAACATACAAATAGAAAATTTCATTACAACGTATATCATGCAATAAACAAGATAAATCAAGATACATTGATGAATTGGCAACTTTTCTACAAACTGAACTTTCCCCGAATTAATATTTTTAACAGATACGGCACATCCCTGAATGAAAAATTTCTCGAATAAAATGCGTCTTTCAGCGACAGCGAGATTTTTTCATCGGAGAATTCATACTGCAACTGCTACAGTGCTATCCGAATAATCAGTTCAATCCGAATAATTTATATTTCCGTGAAATTTTTACTGTTAGAAACACTTCTCGTTTCCCATAGCTTAAGCTCATGATTCGGGGAGAGAAGGTGCACTGTTTTGCGTCTGTTGGAGGTGTGGCAAGAAACCTTGATCGTTTCCTTCGTTCCAAAGATAGACCCCGAGTCACTCGTGTGTATTACAAACGTGAAATGCAACTGGAATTTGCAATATATACTAAAATTCTATTCCTACATTGTTCTTTATTTTAGGTGACAATTATTACACTCAGTTACCAATCGTAAGTAAGAGACAAGGATTTGATCTTCCCATTTCATGGGCAGGTGACCGCAATAATGGGTTTTTCATGGGAAGTGTAATGGTAGGAAGGACAATAAACATTCAACGAGAGATAAATGATTCTGAAAAGAATGTTGCGTCATTGGTTTCCATGAAAAATAATATCACTACAATGTTTTACTTGGAGCTGTTTTTGAGAAAAAGTATTTAAATAATAAAATTATATATTCTAAAAACCTATCACGTTTGAACTCAAAACTACGCAAAGCTACACATTCATTCAGAAAAGTTTAAAGTATTAATTTACACATCAAATTTTCAAAAAGAGATTTCCTAAAAAGAAAAATGTATATCTTCTACAATCCAGTTGGGAGGGCATTGAGTACTGTACAAAACCCGTTCTGTTCGAGCAAAAACCAACGAATCAACCAAGCATTTTTGGAGTAATTATTATAGAAAATTTCAAAAATGTTCTAGGAACTTCATGTCATTAATTTCCAAAATTTAATGGGAATATCCATTACCATAAACATTAAACGTGCAGTCTAGACGCTGGAATTGTATACATAGTCTGACTCATGGACAGACGGATACAACAGACAGACATTTTGAAAGTAATTTTTTTATATCAAGGAACGTCAAAACATGGATTCTGCCTATAATACGTTTAGAAGAGAGTACTATAGTATAATTATACTCTGCTTCAGAAGTAAGAAAATCCACTTTCTTGGTCCACAAAAACTTGGCGTTTTGTAGCAAAAATCGTGTATATTTTCCTGTATCACAATAAAATTCTCTGAATACGTATACGGGAAAGCGTAAAATGTTCATGTTATTTACGTATCATTCGATCTCGCAGCCATCTGCTGTGCATTTCTGCACGACGCTCAATATCCTGCACTACAGAGGAGGGCATATATTTTACATATTCTGTAGAAAATCTGAAAGATAAAAAACCATAGGTTTGGAAACTAAAGGTGCTACGGCGAGTGCAGCCGGCAGCTTGGTTTGACGATTTGCGAGCTCGAGTAGAGCGTGGACATAGCTGTGAGTAGGAGCGTGGTATATTTTTCATCCATTATGCGCCAGTTTTCCTACAATATCTCTTCGTTACTGGTCGAGTACATCCTTATGGGAATTAAGCTTCTAGCGGGAAGGTCTCGCCTGGTATAATGCATCTGCCTCAGTCAGAGCAGGGGACGTCAGCAGTGTGAAGAAAAAGTGTAAACAACCTAAGTCACAGCTTTAATTTTTCCTACGTGACAGGGAAGAGGTATGCTTTAGAAAGGTATTAAAAAACAACTTAAAGTTCATTTTCGAATAGCGGTAAGACTAGCGATACGATACGATATGACACAGCGTTCGATGGCACCGACGAGCACAAGGGCTACAATCGCCTTCTGACACATTTCAGAGCACGCGCGTTCAAATGCCACCGCCGTCGCGTCGATTGGCTCAAAAATGAACGCCGCCGCGCCAAGCAGGCCTCGCAGCCTCCGGCGACGCGTTCTGTCTGTCAACACGGCGGCGCGGCGGCGTCTATTTCCGGGGCGCATGCAGAATGGAGGATGGCGGCGCTTAACACGAAACCCCTTAGCCTTCCCGCCGGAATAGCTATCTAAAAACGAAATTATTCAGCGTCGCCGGTGCGCGGCGGCGCGCGTGGATGCGCGGAGCGTGGATGCGCGGAGCGTGGATGCGCGGAGCGTGGATGCGTGGGCTTTCGCGGGAAGCGCCATGAATAAATAGGCGGGCGTCGCCGCCGAACAGCCCTCTCGGCGAGGGCAGCGACGCCAGGTGCGACCCGCGGACCGCGCGGCGCCAGGCTGGACGCTGGACGCGGCGGCGGAGGCGTGTTCAATGTCAAACCCATGGAAATTATTAAAATTGGGGAACCATGGATTCACAATAATCTTGATTCGCCTTCCTCTGATGTTGCTGACAGGGGCTGAGATGGCTCAGTGACTTCAACCGGGACTCTTGATGACCAGTTCCAATGGTGTTAAATTTTCAATTGTTGCTGTACAAAAACTTTCACCCTGTCTGGACGAGAATTCAAATGGTACGCTGCTCCGATATGTCCTTTTATATGTGTTCGAGTAAGCTGCCTTTTTTTATTTCAATATATTTAACACGCACTTCGATGCACGCAATTTCAGTGCAATTCATTATTGTACCATTTCTCAAGCCTCGCAAGCTCGGACTGGCAGCAGGGATTCTAGGAATTCCTCACAGCACGTCCCTTCTCGGAAGCTCTTACGCCCAACATATGGGGCTTTTGTAACAGCTACGGAAGATGCAATTTTATTGCATCAATTCTCAAACACAAATCTAGCACCATAATTTTGGTAATTCAAAATGTCAATTAAAGCTATAACGCATTTTAATTCTAAATTAAACATTGCCTTAATTTTTCAGTGACAGAAAATTGAAACGACTAATTTCATTGATCTCCGAAGAGACGGGAGCGCCCCGTTTGCCACAGAGAGCGGTTCCGCGCCCAGACAGTTCGTCGCAAATCTTTTCGGGGTGCTACTCGTGTCGCCCAGCGCCGGGCTCACTTTTTACATTGCAATGTATCTAGCACGCGTTTGTAACTTTCTTTAAACTACGGTAAGAAAGACGGCGCTAGTCCCATTTCCGCGTATTGCTCGTTTTTTTTCGAAAACTGCAAAAGAATTTCTAAACTACAAAATTGAAGATATTTTTGCCTCAGAAAAAGTGTGTTATAGTAAAATAAATGAACAATAAATAAACAAACAAGTGGTTCTATAGAATAGCACAGACTTTCTCGCCCAATTTAGTTTTCTAATCTCTCTACTCTTGACTAAATTCTGGTGGAAAAAATCTCTATGTCGTGGTGTAGCCAGAATCCATGTTTTGTTGGTTCTTGAAACCGAAAAATCGTTTGACGGCAAAATGTCCGTCTGTCTTTAACATCTGTCTTTGTCTGTCTGTTCGTCTGTGTTTAACGCTAGCGCCTAAACCGTTCAGCTGAATTTCTTCAAAATTGAGATACCGTGTTTGATCTTTACGGACTGGAGGCTTTGGGAGTTTCTAACGGATATTTTCATATGATTTTTTTTTCATAAATCGGGCATTTACCTTTTTATACCTTATTCCTTAATGTCGGCACTTTAACTGAGTTTGAGTCTCGGAGCAGAAAAATAATTAGCTGCTTGACAATACTTTTGCTGGGTGTGTAGAGTAATGTTGAGGAGCTTTTAAAAACAATGCGAGAAAGTATGTGCTTTGGCAGCACCACTTAGTTTTTATTTGTTACGATTTCACACAAATTTTGACAGGTTTCAAAAATTACTTTAAGATGTTCTCGATTCAACGAACTTCACACCAATTATTTTATAAGAAGTTGCCCGACTTTCATTCCTCCCTTTGAATTTTTGAAAATTGCAAATGTTCAACTTTCGTATGAAAAATTTGGGAAGATTGTTCAACCTACTCAGGTGTTGATTGTAATGGGTACTTGATTTTTTTATTTAATCTAATGAGTTCGAGTCCTAGCGTTGGCAAAAATTCTTGCGGGTTTGAAACACTTCTTCGGATTCAAGTAGTATTATAATTTAGTATTTCAAGTAGAATAATAACCGCTACAAATAATGGGAGAACATACGTGCTGTTGAACTTACTTATTGCGGACTAAATACAACAACATAAAAAATGAAAACAGATGACGTTGAGAATAACGTTACATTTACTGACCAAAACAAATAAAACAGACGTTTTCAGGATTTTCAGAACCATGCTAAAAAGACACATTTTTGGATTCTTTAAATATGGCGCCAAAAATCTGATTCAATTATATGGCCTCTTTGGTAGTAATCAAATCTAGACTCGTGCATTTTTCATTTACCCGCTTCAGTGTTTGTCCAAAATCATGAGGATGAAAACTAAAGGTCTAAGACAATGTAGTTTCAAAACAGATACACGTTTCACTATTGTGCTACAAGGGCGCAGCACCACTCAGACCAGCGATGATATCACGCGAATTAAATATAAGACACCAAAAGTTCCCGGGAACCGAAGCGTCTCGTATGGGACCTTTGTTGTACGGGAGCCAATGCGAATCGTGGTGTCTGTAGGGTATGCATTTCCTCTCAGTGCCAAGCTGTTTTCTCATCTGTTCACGCGCAAACAATCATGTGAGTTATCGAAAGTCTGAGTGTTAGGACGCTGCGTCTGCTGTGCAGGCGCTGGAGAGCACCACTGCTCGCGTTGACGCCAGTTCCAATGCTCCGAACAAAATCGTAGCTTGCGAGGTAAAAAGCAGAACTTAGCTTATTATGAACATTTTTATTGATTATGACAATACTTTAATGATTTCGCGTGCTGACAAACATTCCCATTATAGTACTTGCGATCCGAATTTTGCGTGCTTCATTTCTGACGAGATTAAATTGCCCAATACTCGTGTCGTATGTTGTCACAACTATGTTTTCAGCAATGCTCACTCCCCCCAAGAAAAGCAAGACAAACTATTCGAAGAATTAGTACTGGAAACAAGAAGGAGAGGTGAGGTAGGGCATCAACTGATTGCAGAGCCTCTGACCGGGAACGTTCGTAGACTTCCGCGGACGGAGTCAATACATTCTTTGGCTAACAGGGATGGGCCGCATCCCAGTCAAATGGGTTGAGTACTGCTACTGCAGCAGTATAGCTCTGAAGAAGGCCACAGCAAGATGGCCGAAACGTCAGCACAATTGACCGGGACGCGGCTCATCCCGGATAGCCAAGAATGCTCTGACCGGGAGGTTCTGAGATTCGACCCCTCGGTAGCAGGATTTTCGACACTAGCTACTCTACACTAGGTTGAGTTTGCCGCTGTCTGGAGGTAAATTCTAGTGGTCGGCTGCTCTGATCGGGAGTTTTCCGTGGTTTCTCCGATTAAAACGAGGCCTGAGCTGTACTCTAATTTCTGAGCTGTACTCTAAAAAACGGGCCACGAACAGTGCGCCATCTTTCTCTTCTCTTCTTTATCCTACCCTCACCTCTTACTTACTCACACGTGCTCTACATTAAGACACATTCCGGGAGACCGGTAGCGAGCTCCGATCTACTCCCGGCTGCGGATGTGCCCTGCATGTGGGCGACACCTGGGTGCGGGAAATCCCGTTAACCGACGGCAGGGCGGCGCCGGATCTCACTATTCAGTGAGGAAATATCACCGCCAACTCCCGTGATAAAACATATATTACACTTACAGGACAGACAAGTAATGAACAATTTATAAAATGTACAAAAAACCAATTTTTCATCTATTATTGATATCAGAAGTATTATTAGTGATGAAACAATATAATAATGACATTATCAAAACTGAAATTGACTGCTATTGAAAACTAATCAAATGAAGATAATAATTAAATGAGTAATGAAGCTTTAAATATTATCAAATGTGGCGATCTATAGACTCGCAACCAAATTAAAAAGGAAAAACGTTTGTGGGGTGTGGAGAGTTTATGTGCACAATGAGGTAGCGCTTACGATCGCTGGCTAATAGACGAGCTCTCTTGGTATAAAATCAATCACCACCACCTAAGCCTAAAGAGCAAAGTAAACTCATTACAACGCAAACAAATTACACTCCCATAAACGTCGAAAACTTAATATTTCGTGGTTGACATGCCGATATAGGGTTCTCGCAAACTTCTCGATGTACCGTAAGCAACTTACAAGAGCCTCTGTATATAGATGCTCTTCGGCACACTTTCGCTCCTCCATCTCATGTGCTTAACTAGGAATAATTCTTGAGCAAACGTACGGCTGCCTCTCGAGTTGTAGGCGGCCGATAATATGGGGAAAGTTTCAAAAGCGTGGCTCGATGCTCCCAGATTTAAAGTGTTTTCAATTGGGAAAACATCAGGCATTTATAGATTTTTTCGCCGTACTTCTTTCTGGAGGTTGTACACAAAAACCCCTTCCAACCACTAACAATACGAACACTCACCCAACTTTTATTGCTTGATGTGTCTTTTAAGAATAGTTTTTATGCATGAAAAAAACATTATGTTCAATATTGTGGTTGGACCCCAAAAATTAACTTAACCAGTGTTAAGCGTTTTTTTACTCTATCAAAAAATGTATAATACAAAGTTTGCTGTCATTTTATATAATGCTTTATATAAAATGTACAATATTTCAAATCATTTAAAAAACGTATCAAATTCGCAGCACCTGGAGTCCGGCCAGCTAGATTGTCGAAAATAAATTTTTGAGAAACTGAAGTGTTCAGGCTTTCGCGTTGACCACGGACTGCCGGACGAGCAAAGAGACGTTTTTGTCTCAGCCAGTTTTTTCGTACGAAGGACCTATAAAAAATGAATTCTTACTATAAACATGCTAGAGAAAATAATTTATTGAATGAAGAAAGAAGATTTAACCACGTTTTCTATACCAGGGCCCTCTAAATACCAGTTTTCCTCACAAATATTGCTGATTCTACATTTTTAGCATTACATTTTTTTTCTACTGCGTAGAATGATGAGAAAGCATCAAGTCTCGGGTCTGAGTATTGGCATAAAATAAAGATAACTACTCCTTGTTCCTTTCTATTCGAAAACAAATCCTAGCGACGATACGGAAAGGCCGAAGCAGTGGCAGACTTTTCCTGTTGCTGGTCGGTTATCGAGGCCAGCACCCCGCTCCAGGGGGCGCCTCGTCCGAGAGCCGTGCCGTTGCTGGATAATTTAATGGGGCGAATAATTGATGGGGGAGCCAATGGGGGCCGAGGAACCCAGTAAACGCGCGCCGAAGTCTCGCCGCCCATTTCGGCGGAGCAGCCTCCCCGAACTTCACGAGGAATTGAAACTCTTTGCGCGCTTCCGAGCAAACATTTGGGCCTACACAAGAAAGAGCAACTAGTTTATTTAATGCCTTGTTATGCAGCAAACACATTGTACATAAAACGGAAACTGATTTATAAGTCAGTAATTCTTTTATTGTATTTATTGTTCTTTTATTGTACAAAGATCATTACTGAAAAAAATCATTTTTTGAATTTATTAAAGTTTGGACACAGTTCTATATCTAGTGAAAGTTGATTGTATAATTTCGGTATTACATAATTTAAAGATCTTTCTCCGTACTTATTGTAAGTGAGCGGGATCATATATTTTCTTCTGAATGCATAGGTATGTAACTCTATTGTTTTAAATTGATTATTATTATTATAGTGACTAATTATATGATACAATTTGTAGAAACAATAAGGGGTCAAAGTATCAGCATCTTTTCAACGTTGTTTGATATCCATTGCGTTGTTAATCATGATCCATACAGCCAGATATTATTTTAATTTGGTCAAGTAGTATATTGGTATGCTTTTCAAATTTCAGATGTGGGTCGAACGTTACACCTAGATAATTATATTCTGTGGTAAAGTTTAGTCTCGCACAATTACAGAGTAATGTTTGGTCATTAATGAGGCATTTATGCACATGAAATCTAGTCCCTTCAATTTTTGGATTTTGCAAATGTGGTGCTTTGAAGTACAGTAATTTAGTGTCACTTAGATTAACAAAAATGTTATTATTGTATGACCATTTTAGCAGGGAGTTGAAATAATTTTCTATGATTTCTTGGCACAACTTTAGGTTTCTGTGAGAATATAATAGTATTGCATCATCGGCATACATATATAATTTGCATTTCTTAATTTTTGTGAACAGGCTATTCACATAGATAATAAATAAAACTGGTCCCAATTGACTGCCCTGTGGTACACCATATTTAACATCTTTTAAGGAACTTTCTGTATTTGCAAGTTTAACAATAATAATAATAATAATAATAATAATAATAATAATGATGATGATGATGATGATGATGATGAAGATAAGAGTAATAATAATGGGACGGCGAGGTAGAGGCAGGCGAGGGAGAGGCCTGGGGGCGCCGCAGTCCATCGCACAGCGGCCCCACTCCGCTCTCCGCTCTCCGCTGCGTGCGCCGGCAGCGCGTCCGTGGGCGGCTGAGTGCAGTGCGCGGATTAGATAGTGCAGTTGCATGTAGTGCATATTGTGCAGCGCAGTG